ATGTATACATGTATATGTATGTATGTATACTAACCCAATATTTTTGAGTTAAACTGATTTGTGTTAAACTTTACTTTAAAGTATACTTTAAAATAAAGTTTAACACAAATCAGTTTAGCTCAAAAATATTGGGTTAGTGTAACAGTGTAGATTTATTGGTTAAATTTGTTCAATTCCAATATATTTTTATAGCAACCTCAGCATTTATCCTGATTTACCACGTGGCCTGACCACTTCTCACATTTTTAATTACGAAATGGTCTATTTTCTCAAAAAACTGCAGCAAACTGTGAATGAAGATTTATTATTATATTCCTGTGGCATAGATAAGCAATCAATGCTTTTACATTTTTTAAACATTTTTAACAAAGATCTGAAAGGTAAAAAAATAAATCATAAGCTAAAATTTCGATATAATATAGATATAATTATAGTGCACAGGATGTTTTCATGGAAAACTTTTTCAACAATGAGGTTGAACCACAGCTGATGAGGTATGCAGGTACTCAACATGAATGAGTGTTTAAATACATTTACAGCAATAAATACTCTGTATAACTCCAAAAACACAAACTTATTTGATACATCAGTCTCCACAATACACTTTAGATCTACTAACAGATCATTTGTACATTTTTCTGAAAATTATTTGGAATTTGTCTGCATGCTTTATGAGCCCCTCTTTAAAGTGAAGCCATGCTTTACAGCTACATCTCTCTGTTCATGTTTATATGTTTGTTCAGTCAAACACAAGACATTTAATTTATGCATTTCTTTAAGCGTTACAGCATATTTGGGCATAAGTTGTTGATTTTTGTCTCAAAGTCAAGAGCCTGCAGACAATAAAAACACAGACAGATCGTTTATCTATAAGGCTAAAAGAGTTGGAGAGTTGAGGATGTCGACAGASTCGGTTTTGCTTAAACCTTTAAGGCTGTCCAGTCCATCTGTGAGAGAGTCCAGCTCAGGACAGGCGAACGTGAACACGGACAGGTAGCTGCTGCAGGTGGGGGTGGAGGTCACCACGGGAGTGCTGAGGGGCTCCAGGTCGCAGGAAACGGACTTGTACAGGGTCTCCCAGTCCGAGACCCCGAGGGAGCTGCTCAGGTCGATGTCTGGCACGGACCGCGCCGTCTCCATGGGGGGTTTCTCCTCCAAACCKGGTAACATATTGTCTAGTAGCCCCTCCTTCATGTCCAGGGAGGGCTCGAGGTCGCAGAGGTTGACCTCGGCGCTGGCGCACAGCAGGATGTTGGAGTTCCCGGAGATGGCCGCGGATGGATCGCTGGGGATGTCCATGTCCTGGGGCGAGGGGGCCTCCTGGATGCCGTCCTCCGGGAGTCGGTCCTCGTCGGGACTGGGCGGCAGCTCTGGGGAACCTGTGGATTCCTGGAGAATGGACTGGAGCTCCTCGGGCATGTGGCACGCGGGCTTGTGCGCGGCGAGGATGAACTCGAGGCGCTCTTTCTCTTTCAGGAGGTTGGCTATCTCCGTCTCCAGGGCTGCTTTTTCCTCCTCCAGCTTGTCCGTCTCCTGCGAGATCCAAACATCATCCACACACAGGGTGGGGGAGATTTAAAAAAAAAGATCAAAACAAACCAGGCAGCGGTGAAAGGTGCGAATGACAGCTGAGGAAACGCATCACTTACAGCTTGCAGCGTGTCTGTGAGTTCCCTCCGCCTGTTGCGACACTTCGCTGCGGCCATTTTATTCCTCTCCCTCCTTATCCTTTTCTTCTCCTCCTCCTCTGGAGACAGCTGGGACAGAGGAGACACATTTCAGTGACGAACCAGACCATTTTCATCTTTCCAGCTTTGAGAAAACAGCCTATTGCTGCATTACGTCTAAAAATAGATCCCTGTTGCAGACTTTGCTGTGACCTGAATTTAAATTGACTTTCTGTCTAAAAGGGAAACGCTCGCAGCCACCCTTAAAAAAAATCCCATTGCACGCAAGGATTTCTGATTGGCACATGCAAATTGACATGATTCTGTCCAATTGCATGTTGACTTCATCTGAGCTCGCCCACCTGCTCAGTTTTCCCCTTCCTGGCAGCATTTTTCCCCTTGTTCCCTCCCGCTTTGGGTGTTGCCTGGCGAGAGCTTTGCGGCTCATTGGCTTGTTTGCCACTCAGAGATGGTGGGGCAGATGTGATGATCGTAGGCTGGACCATCCACTGGAAATCTGGGGTGGAGGATATAGCTGTGACTGTCGGAACAAACGGATCGCCTTCGGGGCTCAGATCTGGACAAACCTCCTGCAGAGAATAAAAAAAGTAATAAATAAAGCAGAAGATTAATTAAAAGTTTAATATGGATTTTAATACAAGTCTTCGATAAAACCTTTAAATCATTTGTGCTACAACAATACAAACAGGCCATCCTATGCATTTTACWTATACATTTCCAGAAATAGCCCTCTTTAGATCAATACTGACTTTCTCATTGTTTCTGACGTCAACACTGACGCAGGGATGCTGAGGAGTCTCCTGAATGGATTTATTTTTCTCAATGAAGCGCCGCATCGACACGTTCAGAACTGGTCCCAGGACGTCGGAACCACAACAACCCGACCGGGACAGAATTATTTCCTCACACCATCCACCCCTCCATTGATGCTTTAGTCAAATGCGTCAGAATTGATGCTTTTGGAGAGAGGGAAAAAAAGAGCGCATGCAAGTTCATTAC